ACAGTTCTCGGATTGACTTACGACATTTTAAGATAGATTTAAGACAATCTTAAATGTAAGAATCAACTATGAACATCGGCCTGCTTCGCATCGTGAAGTTGGTACTTTTTTCGTGCAAAACAGTACTCGGGGTCTAGAAGTACTATGAGTAGAACCCATAGACGTTACTCAAGATTCGAGCTGATCTTAAGGGGGTATTCTAGTCTAGCGAGTAAAAAATTGATTTTTTTTACATATTTTACAAATATTTGGTATAGAAAATATGTCTGTAAAAGGAATTAGCCTAATTCGTAAAATTAACAAAGTTGTTGCACTTGGTAAGGAGCGATCTTTGACTCGTTTTCGCAAAAAACTGCGAAGTTCGAAAGATATCGACTTTCCTATTTCAAAAGAATATGATGATGAGAACAAGAAGAATGAAGAAAATGTTGCAACACATTTTAACAGTTTCCGGCGACAGTACAAGTAGTTTATGGAAAAAAAGAGGATTCTAGCTAATTGATCGTAAGTAAAATTATCTCTATATAATCAGTATGAAAAACTTTAAACGCATAGTTTTTCTCAAAACTATGTTTTTCAAATTGGCTCCCGTGATATCTCGAAAACCAGTTGATAACGAGTCGGGCATGTGCATATATATATGGCTATAGTTCGTATTAGGATTAAGTCGAAATATATATTTTTGTAATTTTTACAACTATTTTGGTGAAAAAAAGGCATAAATCGAAACTTAATTTTCGACATAACATTTTTTAAATTATTAGTATTTTTTCTTTGTTCTAGTATCTGTTATAGCCAAACTTATACTAATTAAGAATTTCTTTGGTTTTTTTGTTTCAGTTGAGCAAAAGAGCTGGAATCGTGGGAGCCATAGACCTAGTTTTATTTTTCACGACGTTAATTTTATACAACGCATTTTAACAATTATTTTTTTAATAAAAGAATTTTGAAACATTCTTCAAATATGTACAAATATGTAGAGAAAAATCCTGTCCCAAAAAACTTTATCTTAAATTTTTAAAAAATTCACAAAAATAACAAAAGTTCGGCTTCTAGACTAGAATCCGCTTAAGCTAGTGCATAAACCAATCAGAGAGCCATATTAGCATCTTAAGACATTGCTTGAGATTAAGCACGAACTATGGATTCTGGCCTATGTTGTCTATGGTTATAAGTGACGTGACGAATAAAGTACAAGACTCATAACTCTGAGGTCCCAAGTTCCAAAACCCGGCCGGTAAATGAAAAAGATTGAAATATAATTAAAAAGATAGAAAAGAATTAGAATTAATTAATAAAATTAGTTGTCTAAGGTTTAGGCTGTTGATAAAAAAAATAAATTAAAAAAAAGATTCTATAATGTTATTTTTCCTAATTTTGTTCAAATAGTTTTAACATTAAAAAACGTTTTTTTAATGTTAAAGAAATATTTCTTCAAACATTAAATAAACGTTTTTAAACGTTAAAGAAATGTTTCTTCAAATGTTATAATAAACGTTTTTTTAATAAAAAATTCGGGGTTAACCGAAGGGGTAATCACTTTTGAATTCCGATACAATCTGTCAGAAGTCCGGTGAAGTCCGACGAAGTCCGAAGAATTCCTCGACGTCCGATAAAATCCGATGAAGTCCGATGAAGTTCGATGAATTCATGAATTCCGATGAATTCACTAATTCCGATCAAGTTCGATGAATTCCGGTGAAGTTTTGAAGTCCGAAGTCCAGGTGTACACCTATTTTTTTGAATGGTTACCCCCTCGGACTTAACCCATTATTTTTAACATTTAAAAAAATGTTTTTAAAAATATTTTTTAAATATTTTTTAAAAACATTGTCTACTGATTGGATAATCTCGGAAAGTAAACATAATCTTATCTTGTTTTCGTTCGATAAAGATGTAACTCTTGATTTAATATCGTATGTTCTATATTATTTCATTAAGCTATACATGCAGTTTTAATATTTTATCTAAATTATGCAGATATTTGTAATTTTGGGTGAGGCACCCCAAATTTTTTCGGCATTTTACTTAAGAATCATCTTAAAGCAGAACAATAACAGTCAATCATATAAAAAAGATTTTTGCAATTAAAGTAGAACAAGTCATAATAACATCAAAATTACATTAAACTGAATTGTGATTGAAAAAAATAACTTTCAGCAAACTTTTGAAAACATATTAACATTATGATGATTTTTTGTTCTATGTATGGCCCGGTCTCACCAACTCCGATTAAGCTCGATCAATTAAGTGTCAATCGTGATTGGTCAATTCTACTGAACAGCAAATCCGATTGGTCAGTCCTAATGTAACAGTCGACCGATAAGATTAATCGGAATTGATGAGATCGGCCCTATGTTTTGCAATTTATTGCATATGATAGATTTTAGAAACATTTTATATTGCAGAATCCTTTCAGAATTGTTGCACACAAGATTAAAACTAATGAAAGATTGAAACATTTCTAAAAATTTTCCGCAATAATCGGTGCTACATAGGAACTATGGGAGGATATCAGTGTGTGTAACACGGATTCTATATATAATCCCATAAAAATATTTTTTTACTTTATCATTTTTATCTAACGTATCAAATATCATCACGTCTTTTATTAACTCATTTTTATAACCGAATATAGATATTAAAATTAAGTTCTTTCAAAAAAGTACATAGGATAAATGGGATAAATTTTCAATTCAAAACGTTCATAAAATAAATTGCATAAATTGCGAGGTTTCGTGGGACTGATAATGAGGGAATTTGGAACTCGTGTAAATAAACACAGAAGTAACATTAAGTGTGATTCGTCGAAACATTCGGTTATTACTCAACACATTTTAAATTATAATTATTCTATTGATTAGGAAGGTATCAAGATTCAAAATATAGAAATTAATTATAATAACTAATTATAATAAAAGGAAAATTTCTGAAATGTCACATATTAAAGAGCAAACAGGAATAGCAATTCACAAAGAAATACTGAGAGTTTTAATGAATCTCATTCTTATTTATTAGTCTTATAATTAGTAGCAGTAATAAATAAATATCGAGCTGTTTGGTCTGTCCTTATAGCGTTATATTTTTCATTTGAATTTGTCGAATTGTTTGAAATTTGCTAACATCTAGATATGATGTCCCTGGCTTCATAATTTATACGTAAATTTTATCGTTAATCTTCATTTTAATCTATTTTAATCTTTTAATTGATTTAGTGACAAATTTGTTTCTGTTGTAATAGATAAATGATATAAAAATATCTTATTGACGAACTGGAAAGAATACGGGCAATAGGAGTCAAGCGCAGAAAACGTCGCGCAAATAATATATCTATGAAATGTGAAACTTCTTTATTCACTAAAACGAACGAAAATAAAGAAAATATCGAGAATCGGTTTTTGAATAATTCATAGTAATGTTTGTGATTTGTGATCAGGGTGTGCGTCTTTATTTTCGGGATAATTAATTATAATCTTAAGGGGATAAATTAGTTTTTCATATTCTCTCATTTCGATATTTCCTTTATTTTCTTGTTTTCGTTTATTTTTCTTTTTTCTTTTTCTTTCACTCTTTTTGGGTTTAATTCTAGTATTTAAATTCTTAAGGTAGGGGAGCTCATCATGACAGGATAATTTTTATTCACAGTTTATTTATGTTAGTTTGTGTTGTCTCTGAGGAGAGCTCGAAAGTGAGTCGAAACATGTAAGCGCATTATAGTGAATAAAGAAGTTTCACACTTTATAGATACATTATTATTTGCGCGACGTCTTGATTCCTACTGCCTGTATCTTTTCCAGTTCTTTGATTTGTAAGGAGTCTTGGTTAGTTTGATTTGTTATACGGATATTTTATTAACTTTAACAATCGATATACTTGCTGAACAACGAAGGACTCGAGGACCACCCAGACAACACGCATGTTCAAAAACGAGACATAAGATATTCTTAATTTAAATTTATATAATTATCTCAGATGTAATTTAAATTTAAATTAAGAATCTATATTGTATTTGTAACATCTAACTTTGACCGAGAATTGGCGTTCTCTCATATTTATTTATATTATATACACGGTCGTATTCTTACATTTTTTTTATTAAAGAATTTTGAATTTGTACTGCATATCTGAAAAATATCCGATATCCGATCGGATAATTACCTGCTGGATATCTGATCAGATATCAGATATGCGGTGTCACATTCTTTTCAGGTATCCAATATCCGGTAATTTTACGATCTGGTACATCCCTAATAGATATCTTAAAATTAATAGTTTACAATCATGTATTTTATACTTTATTCTGGTATTTAACATCAAAATTACAAACAATTAATTTTTCGATAAATATCTATATCTTAATACTTTTATATATTATACAATGTAAAAAATATTTCTGATAAACTATTGATTTTTCGATATCTGTATCTTAATACTTTTATATGCAGAATAATTAAAAAAATTATATTATGTGACAAAAATTATTATAATTCTATTTAAAAAAATGGCGATCACCTCAAAAAATTAATTTTTTTCGACAATTCATTTTACCAATATTTGTCCCCCTTTAGATTATACAATTTTTATCTGAAATATTTTCTTCTAAATTTTATGAATTTTAAGATATTTGACTGTATAATAATTAAAGTGAGACACTCTTTATAGTGGGAAAGCAAATAACATTCTATTATATGTATATACGATTTATGACATACGCTAATCTACGTTTATCTCGACTATTACTCGAAGTAAAAAGTGTTCATTATGTAGAATCAAATGAACGTATGTTATTTAAATTGTCATTTCCCAGTGCAATTCTCTAATAATTACTATTTAAAACGTATCCATAACTCGCACATCGTGAAATGACATCCTTGTCTTGCCGTTTGTTAATCATAAATTAGTAGCACGAGGCCATGACTATTGTGATAGCATCAATCCTATTCAAATTATGATCGTATGTATCGATCGTATCGAAATTTGTGTGCACAAGAAAAAGATTTTAGTTATAAGAGCGAATATTGGTACTTGGTTTGACTGCTAGTGACCTCAATTCTAAATCCCGCAGGCTGTCCTTTCACTTTAAAAGCGTTTCAATGAACATTCTTTCTCGCACCAGCTTAATACTGAAGACATACTTCATAAAAGAAACCTCAGTTCGTTTCTAGAACGTCGATTAGTGAGTCGTCCGTCGTCGGTGTTTTTAAGTTTCACTTTCATGTAAGTTCTAGAGCGTATCCGTTATGTTTTCTTCATGTCATGACGTATTCTCTTCATTTATTTGATATAGTTAAATGTTTTGTTGAGGAAGCAGCTACAGAAAATAAGAAATAATACGGAAATAATATAATAATATGAGTATATATTAATGTGCGTGCGTGCTTGCATGTGTGTGTAACAATAAGTGTGTGTGTGTGTGTGTGTGTGTGTGTGTGTGTGTGTGTGTGTGTGTGTGTGTGT